GTACTATGAGCTCCTGTCAACCGGTACCACCGTGACTGCCGTCGTCTACGCTGCTCGACTTCAGAAGTTGGCAGGCGTCATTCAAAAAGAGCGTCCCAAACGCGACAAAGTTCTCCTTCTGCATGACAACGCTCGTCCACATGTTGCGAAGATGACTCGCCAGACGATTTCGGAACTGGGCTGGGAAGTTTTACCCCATCCAGCGTATTCTCTGGACTTGGCCCCTTCCGACTATCACTCGTTCCGGGCCCTCGTGAATCACCTGCGGGACAAGACCTTCGACGATCGAGCACAGCTCGAAAATGATGTCGGCCGTTTCTTCGCTTCGCAATCGCCAGAGTTCTGGGCAAAGGGCATCGAGCAGTTACCCGTGCGTTGGGAACATGTCATAGACAACAATGGTCATAACATTATAGACTGAAATTGCATTTCAATAAAGTTATAACATTTTGAAAAATTTGCGCAGGGTGTTGCAAGACTTTCTTTCCAACCCAATAAATCTCGCGATCCCTGATCTGGCGACCCGCCACACGAAAGCGATCCCCCTTTTCCCTCCAAACGGAATCGAAACGGGAAAAGGACCTTGGCGAGTCGAACTTCGGCGCTGGTCTGCTTCGCGTCGGAGCTGCGGAGGCTCTGCACGTTCATCTTCTTCGCCTGGTCCCTCATCTGCTGCTCGTGGTCTGCCACCGCCTATGAAGGCAAAAATAACGACAACAGCAATGAAAACAGCAACAATAACAACAGTAAAAGCAACAACAGCAACAGCAACGGCAACAATCGTCCTCGAAAATTCGCTTGCTTGTTTCTGTTGGATTCTAAGGGAATCGTATGGGTTGCGTACCTGGACGATGTAGAAATAGCAGAAGATGATGAGGAAGAGAGGGAGGAAGTAAACCCAGAAACTGTAGACTATCAGGTAGGACTTGGAGAGCCAGGTTTCCGTCAGGTAATCCGTTCCGCATGCGGTCATGTTACCCTCGGGTACGTACCTGGTATATCACATTTTATTTTATTTATTTCATACCTATTAATCAATATATATATATATATATTATTCATTAAATCTATGCTTTTTATTCATCATTAATATATGTTGTATTTGTTTATATATTTTACTCATAATTAATTAATGTATATTGTATTTATTTTAATATGAAGTTCGTGGACCCTACCGATTCCATCCCACCATGGGCAGCACTGTCCAGAGCACGGAGAAGAACCAGACGAAGAGGATGTAGCCCAGGGCCCTCTTGTACGTCATGGGCTTCGCGGCCATCCCCTTCACGATCACGTTGTACCTGGGGAAGAGTCGTGTCGGTCCTCCGAGTCAGGGCGTATTTTAATGTGCAGCTTTGAAATATTTTCTGCAGTTCTGAAATATTTTGTGCGGTTCTGAAATATTTACTGCTGCTCTAAATTAGAATTTGTGCGGTTCAAAAAAGGGCAAAACCTTTTGAAACAAAAATTTGACTTGAAATTGGTGCTAAATCTGATTTTCCTTCACGAATTTTCGGGGGTTATAATCATTTGTGCAGTTCTGATTTAAAAAGAAAAAGCAATATGCCTCGCTCGGAGTTCGTGCAGTTGAGCTTCACCTGTCGAGGGCGATGACAGCCAGGGACCAGATGGAAGCGCAGCCAAAGAGGGATCCCGCCATTCCGTACAGCTCGCACATCAACGGGCCTGCGTGACACAGATAATCCAAGAATCCATGAGAATTTCAGATCTGTTACAGATTGGCACGCAATTTTTGCCCCCCCCCCTCGCTTTAACAGAAGCTTTTTACGCCAAGTACAGTGAAACCTCGCTAATTCGAACTCCACTGGTCCGGACTTTGGTTAATCCGGACTAGGATTCGAGAGTGACTCAGAATAAGATGTGTTTTGTGTGAAAAACACTGTAGTAACCTTTGTACAATTCATAGTCCCCCATACCCCTTTTAAGTTAATAAAGTTTAGATTTTATATTTCTTTTTGATCATTTACAAAATTAATATAAAGTACTGTTTAAGATTTTATAGGTTTATTATGCTTATTACATGTGTAATGTGTTTTTACTGTACATTTAATTATGAGTTAGCAGAGATTTGAAAATGCTGTATGTCCGCCTACAACATCTCTACCTCGGGTGAGAATGAAATCCATGATGTCTTTCGTGTTGGAAATGGTGAATATGCGCAGCCTGCAGAAGCTCGTAGTCATGCAGACTCTGAAACGCAGCGGGTGTGCCTGTCACACAGGCATCCCGATTCCGCTACCGAATCCGTTTCTGCGTTAACATGGTGGCGGAAGCAGGGTCGCGATTAGAAGTCTATTTTGGAGATAATCGTTGACTTCGCCTTGGTGAAGCCTCACCAAGGCGAAGTCGACGATTGCCTCTGCGTCTGTTGGAAGGCGAATATCTGCCGGCTCAAAGTAACATTTTCCGAGCCATAGTGTACATAGATTAAAGGGATTAAAGGGGGTCAGACAGATCAGACAAGAGCAGACAAGAATAGATTTTCATTTTCGCCCTCGGACTGTTCAGCCTTGGCGTTACTAATTAAACTGAGGGCTTGATGATCCTTGTAACGAAACCTCGAGTCCTTTAAGTTAAGGTCACTGGTTGGAGTCTGGACCACCTGAGTCCGAATTCCCATTAACTTCCGAGGAGTTACGCTGAAAGTAGCACCGAATTTATTTTTGGATATGAATCTCGCGGTTCGTGGACGCCGTTTTCTCGCGTGCTTTCTGCTGCATATTGTTTCGAATCCGTTGCGAAATGGCAAAGGGCGGAATCACTTTAATGCCAAAACGTGAGGTACCTAAAGTTGGGAAATTACAGGGCCAAACGAATGTCTATGTTTGGGGACGTCGTGTCGGCCTGACTTATGTCTAACAGCCTGATGCATCGGGTAGGGAGTGTTTTTACAGATGGCAAATGAATGCAAGATTTAGCCAAGGTGAAATCTCTCTCATGAAGACGATGAAGTTGACGTTGTCCCTTTCCTTTCCATCTTAATTTATTCATTAATTTTTTTTTCAGTCTGATTGTCGATCTAGAGTTCCAAGGACGCAGTTGCCCAGATGTCGAACAAAATGTAATTATGCTTATAATTATTTTAAGTCTCTCTGTAACGATGGGCCATTGCAAGGGATAAAATGCATACCTTATCCGGGCAAAGTATTTTTGTGACACAAACGGGGAAGGCCAAACATTTTAAGAATTTTTTCCTTAAAAGCAAATCCAAACTTTAAAAATTAGTTTTTGAATCTATGGATTACTGTCTATGAAACCTGTATCAAATTTGAAAAATATTTTGAAAAAATTTCGGAGGGTAATGAAATGAAATTTACCCCTTGCCCGGATAAGGGTTAAATGAATTGCTGGTGGCAACTACAATGTAAAATTACCCCAAATACAGTCATCCCTCGCCAACCGCGGTTTTGTCAACCGCGGTTTCGAGTATCCGAAATGTATACCGTTTTAACAACCGTGGTATGAGGTTTTGAGTATCCGCGGTTTCAGGCGCATACTCATTATTTTTTGCTGCAATAGTTTTTCTTAAATTTGAATAACCTTGATGCGTTTTAACAGAAGAACATCTATACTTACTATTTATGAATTTTTTTCAATGTGCTACCAAAGGGTCTGATCAATGCTCTTTAGAAGCTAGGAAATTCCTCACAGCATTCGTCTCAACTTTAATACCCCTTCAGCAGACCCTTTGGTAGCACATTGAAACAATTTATATAAGCTATCCTTAATTGACAAATAAGATGAAATTTCGCCAGTCACCATCAAAGACATCTGTCTTCCCACGATAAGAGTAAGAATGGTGTATTGCAGCTGGGAGTGCCTTGGTCTCAGAACTTTTTTGATCACCCCTCGTATGTTCCCGAGCGTGCCGCAACGTGCTGAAAAATCTTCAGTTTTGTATTAAGACGACGGACATATTGAGCACCTGAAGTGAAGTTTTCTGCTGTTTTTTTTCCTTGTTAAGGTACTTCCAAAAAAATAAAACCAGCTCCTAGATACATTGAACCGTTTTGCTTCTATTCGAATTTAAACGTGTTCAGTTAATTAGTGCTCACTCTGTATTCTATTAAGTAGGGTTCCCCTAACCCCCTATTTCCCATAGACATGGGATTTACCAACCGCGGTTTTTCGCCAACGGCGGTGTTTTTCAGGAACGTAACCCCCGCGGCTGGCGAGGGATTACTGTATACTGATCGTTTAATGATATAGATGCAGTGGAAGTCTCGCTATCAAATTCAAGTTTCTCGCATTCACAAAAGAAATTTAGAAGATAAAACACAGAAGCATTGTGAGAGAGCGAGAGAGCGTAACTGTTCACTCGAGGCGTTCCACTTACTCTATCCAGCCAATGAGGATACAACACTGACATTCTTGGAAAGGAGGGTCAAGCGGGAGGGAGAACGGGAGATGTCATCCGTGACGTCACGAAAATGCCCCTCCCACCCCTTCTCCCCTCTTATCCAGGCGATTCGTTCATTCCTCGCTTGGACGCCTTCTCACCCACTTCGACACTCTTGATTCGGTTGTAATTTTAGTGATTTGTGAATTATGAATAGCGCATGATCACCCGGTTCGCTTTCATGTCTGTGCTGACGCGAAACGGATTGCAAACGAAGGACAAAGTACGTACCGAAGGCCCAGGTCTCGTTGTAGCAGTTGATGACCATGGGCGGGAACATGGTGGCCATCATGAGGAAGTCGGAGAAGGCCAGGTTGACGACTATCAGGTTGGACGGGGTCTTGAGGCTCCTCGTCGTCATGAACACGTAGATGACGACGAAGTTCCCGATCACGCTGATCACGCCCAACACTCCGATCACGAAGCCGAGGATCGCGTGCCACAGGGGGTTCATCGGTGGGAACTGGTACCTGATTCGTGGATGATAAGCTCATTTTAATATATGTTAAACATTTTTTCAGACTTGTGGAAAATGTACTCAAGACATTTTGGAATTATTTATACTGTCATGTGTGAGTCCATACATCACGAACGAGAATTAAGTCTTTCGTCATTCAACGCCGTAACCATCGACATCGCAACGCCCTACACACGCCTGATCATCATTCACGATACCAGTGGGCATCGACGAGGTGAAGCATTTCGGGCGGAACCTTGTCCACGACGGTGGTGTTGCCGAACCCCGGGAAGGCCATGCCCTGAGGCATCCCGCCGTATGAGGGCAGGGAGCCCGGGAGGCCCCACTGGAACCCTGGGTAGCTCGGGTCTCGTGACATCTTTCTCCTGAAAAAGGAGGAGAGAAATTAAACATGGAGAAGGTATTTTATTATTTATTTATGTATTTATTTTTATTATTTATTTATGTATTTCTTTTTATTATTTATTTATGTATTTATTTTTATTATTTATTTATGTATTTATTTTTATTATTTTATTTTTATATTTTTATATGTATTTTTATATTTTTATATGTATTTTATTTGCTTGCATCTATTTTTTCTTTCCTTGTTCACAATGATCCATCCAGACCTGGATGACTCCTTGTCTGCAATAGAAGGCCGGAAGAAGCCGAAGGCGGCTCTATGAAACCGTGCAAAAATGATTCACAATTTCCACCGCTGACTTCAGTTTCCTTCTATTTATTCACAGATTGTTAAAAAATAAAAATAAAAATAAAAATAAAAATATATACATATTTATTTATATAGAAACAGCGGTCGACCTTACCTTCGACAGACGGCACAGGCTGAAGAAAATCGCAGAGAGCCTGAAGCGAGAAGTCGATGCGAACTACTTCAGCCGAATGCGAACGGGTGAAAAAACGGGTGAAAACGGGGGCGAGCCTCTGGACGACTGCTCGCCGGGGGGATGCCGTAACCTGCCTTTTATCCCGGATTCCCCCGAAGCCCCAGCGAGTGGGGTCAAGGCTTCATCGAAGCCATATCGAAACCTCATCCATTTAGGGCGTATCGCCTCTAATCGCGGGATTATAGTTTCCCTTCCCATCATGTGTCGACAGAAGAGGGGGAGGGGGGGGGGGGGTGAGGGAGGGGATTCCAAGGCAATTTCCTGTCGACCCATCGAGGCGAAATCGAGGGCAGCCCTGTCCTCTCGAAAAGCCTCTTGGAGGAAGAGGCTGCAAGCTCGGGAACCATCTGGCGATCTGAGAGACATCTAGGGAAAGCAGCGCGAAGTAAGGAACAAGGTAAGGGTATTTCAAATTCCGACTAATTTTTGCGGTTAACGGCGAGACCCTCCCCACGACTCAACTTGGAAAAAGGAACTAAAATCATATGAGGGTGGATCAGAAACTAAGGTGAAATGGCCGTTTAGATCTCAAATTAACAAATTATCGTGCAATACATGGACTGCACATAATGTTCACGAATGTTCTGCCGGGGGTCTTCTTGCTGTTGCGGCAGTCACGGTACAGCTGGTACAACGTGGCCGCCATGCTTTAAAAGTGAACGCATGAAGGAATTCCAGGATTTATGCTTCCTGGAAACAACTGCAAACCTTCAGACATTGCCGAATTCCTCCCCAATCGACTATCTCGCACCAGACGATCATATTGAAATAATTATATAATTATCCCATTGATTCGGGCATGATGAACTTGGAGGTCGACGCGTCAGAACGGACGCTGAGCTTCAATAAGCCACTTAATCAGTTTAATCCTGCGTAATTATGTTGAAATAAATCCATATGTCCTAAAAATTACAGGCACTTTCAACTTACTTTCTGATCTACCCTCGTCGACCTAATAGGAATAGAAAATCCTCATTCTTCGGTCTCAAAGTCTTCCTTCCAGAAGTCCCAGGAAATGTGAATATTCTGAGAAAAGCTCACAAGGCGTCGCAGCATCAACATGGAACGGATACGAAGAGATCTCGAGGTTAACTTAACTTTTCGATGCGAATTTATGGCCCTAGTCGAACCTTCGCTTAATTCAGGTTTACTATTCCTAAATCTTGATTTCTTTGGAGAAGGAAATGCGCGGTATTGACTGGTGCTGCTCTCTGGTCACCGTTTTTAGAACTAGCGTCGAAATGCAAAATTAGAGTGAAAATCTGTCCCGAAGGGAGGCGCGAATGCATTCAGGATGAAAATGGAAAAAGTCCCTTCTAAGATTAATATTTTTGCGGGAAAGTCTCGTCGAGTTCCTTCCAGCTTTATGATTTTTTTCCCCTCGGCAGCACATCGCCAATATTGGTCCAATATACTGGGGTCCACGAGGGCTTCTAACATTAGATGTAAAGCCGATGATACATGGAATGAGGTTCCTCGGAAAATCCCCACCTCCGCTTGCCCCAACGAGGAAAAACCCTGACACATTTCCGGTTTTAAATAAAAAAAAAGCGAAAGGAAGGTGTCGGGAGGACATTCAGTTCCTGCCCGGAAGCCTCTCGCCTTCGTGGACGGAGGACATAAATGTACGACAAAAGGAAATGAATTAATTGGCGACAATAATAGGTGACGTATTCCAGTTGCAAATAATAATCTTAAAGAAAGTATACATTTGCTGGTTACTTCCTTTTCTCGTCGGAGTTTATCGATCGCTTTTTTATTACTAGCCAGAGTTCGTCGCTTTTTTTAAATGTGGGTGGAAGGAGGAAAGATTTTCTCAGCACTCGTGAAAAAATGTCATCCGAGAGAATTTACTTTTCTTCCTTGAGAGTAGAATCGAACGCCAGGATTACTCGATCTCAGCAAAATCATTCGCTTCTTTTCAAGAGTGTGTGACTCTCTGAAACGAGTGCTTTGAGATTTTCACATGGAGAGAGTACTCGTGCCAAGTCAAACCTCTGACTTTGAGCCATGCATAATTGAAAGAGTCGTCGCAACACGTAAACATTTAATGTGATTGAACTGATCGTTATTACGCTGAGAACTGGAGGCAACGGCCTGCTTCGTCACACTCTCACCCAGGAGGGCTAGGGAAGCAGCTACCTTCTCTATCATTTCCTGTTCTCCCAGGAAAGTACTGCCACGCTCCCCGCAAGGTTTCGTTACTGCCACGCAGATGGGGGCAGTACCATGACTCATTGACTGGTCTCGTCACCGTGTCATGGGACTGGTCGTTCAAGGGAATGTTAGTGACAACTCTTGTTTGTTTCTAAAAATTTTCTGCTGTTGCCATCCCCCATCTCATCTCCCTCCCTCCCTCTCCCTTCGAAAACAACCGCCAACGGATCAGATTAAGCGTATGTCGGGGGAATTTCGCCATATTGAGCAGATGAGTCTGAATTTCAAGCAAGTTTTACTGTGAATATTATGAATTTTAAATTCCTAACTATAAAACTTGTGCATGTACTTGAACCCGACATGTGTACCAGCCGAGAAAGGAGAAATGTGACAGACGCGAAGGATGGCTGAATTTCCCGTCGTGCTCATGATTTTCGAATAATAATAAATAAATTTTTACCGTTGACCTTTATTTTCGAATAAAATAAAGGTCAACGAGTGATTCGGGAATTTTTTTCTTGACACCATTGAGAAAACTTGTGACTGTCGGAGGAGAGTAAATTTCGAAAGGAAAGGAAATGCGTTATCACAGCCAAAATTGAATGATTTCGTCATTTGGCCGAATAACCCCAATTTCAACAGGAGCTCCAAATGGTTTATATTGAAACTAGAGGAGATTTTCAGGCGTAAGCATGTCAAACTTACAGCAGGCATGAGAATGTCTGAGTTTAGAATGGCGAAACCTGCATTAACGCTTTGTCATCCAGAAAAAGTTTTCCAGATGAAAATTCTTTCCATTCCTGGAATTTCGCTCTTCAATGGAACGGAGGCCATCCAGGATCGGCGAACTGTTCCTTCCTATCCCATCACCTTGTGATGGATCACGTCAGCGCAAAAGGTATTCAAATGTGATTTGCATTATAATAAGCGCTTGGTTATCAAATTTCCGTTGCGAGGTCTGTTGTAAGGGGCCTTCGTTTCGAGGAAAGGTGTGTGTGTGAGTGGGTATGTGTGAGTAGGTGCGTGGGTGTGTGTGTATGTAAGTGAGAGTGTGTGTGTGTGAGTGAGAGTGTAAGTGAGTGGGTGGGTGCCTGCGTCTGTTAGTCAGTCCTTTTCCATTTTAGTTTGTCTCACGACAAATACTGTTCTTGTCTGGATGAAAGTTGGCATGCGGACACGAATGGGCAAAAATTCGAAATTCGTTTTCGGTGAAGTTCGGGCAAAAACAATTCTTACTGCGAATGCTCAGTTCGCACAAGTATTGGCATATGGGCCGAGCGGAAATGGACGATTGGATTAATGTCTTCTTCGTCTTGCTCCTTCCAGCTACTCTCCATCTCGATCCTTTTTTTTTCCAAAATAAAACAAAAAATCAGAGAAATGAAAATTGTGGTGATCGAGAGTTAAGATTAATTTAAGGAGATTCATTCACTTTGTGGGTCTTGGTTTATCCCGGCCCGTCGACTACAGATTCCGACCAATGCGAGTTTTTTTTTTGGGAGATGCAGGTGAATTCAGGTCCCTCTTCCCAAAGTTACCGCAGCATAGGTTATCCTTGCATCGACTCGATCTTTGATGGCAAAGACGGCATATCTGCTATCGTGTCACGTTCCACTAGAAACAAATATATTTATTGTAAAAGGAAATTATTGTCTGTCTATGAGAGAAGTTTAAGATTGAAAGCCCCTGTATCATGGAAGATCCCCCACCGCCAGAACGATAAGTAGGGCTGGGCGATATGGGTTTTTAAAGTATCGATATCGCCGACCTATATATCGCCCTGATATCACGATATCGTCAGGGTTCAGTCGGGGGGGGGGGGGGGGGGAATAAAGTAGGACCATAAGGTTATCGAGTCCGTTCGAGATGCGCCTCTTTCTGCCTGTCAGGATTTTTTGCAAATTTCTTTACGCTCTGTTCCTAGTTGCGTTAACATGGGGGGGGTAATAATGGCGCATTTTTAAGGGCAAAACCTCTTCATTTTGGTAATGATTCAGACATGATCTTGAATGCATGACATCATGGTAGTTCGTTGTTCAAACCTAGGAGAGAGAACATATCGACGATATCTGTCGCAAAGCATGCACGATGTTCGTTTGTAAAAAAATCCATATCTTGAAAATAGTCGCTCACACGGGACGAAAGTTTCTTTGAATTCGCAGGTATTAATATTTGCGAGCCAGGTCGGCAAGCGACGGGTGTCTCCTTCCGTTATGACTGCCGTATCGGTGGGTCATCGATCTCCATTTCGCCGCTTTATAAATGTAAGATCGAACGAAATTAATGTAATTGATTTCGTCCCGCGGATCTGCTTCTGCAGGTTCGTAGCTGTGCGCGTGGGTTAGGAAAATGATAATTGCCTTGTATGGCTTCTTGCTGGTGGCCGTGATGGACTCGATGGTAGATTGTAAGATTCGAAATGTAACCGTGAGTCATGAGTCCGTGAGTGGTTTTCAAGGTGATCCGTTTTTTTTTAAAGGAAAGGTACGTCATGCGTTTAACCCTTTGCGGTCCAACTTCATCCCCGGGATGAAATTTATAAAACTGCAATTTGGTCCTATCTCATCCCCAGGATGAAAGAACTATTATCAAGAAAGAAACAAGTTTGGATGTTTTTGACTCTTTTGCGCTTAGCTTAAAGTGGCGATAATATAACATTCTTTTTCATTAGAAATAATAAAACCTCATTCGAACCTATTTCAATAAAAAACAGTGTAAAGCTTCCACTTCGTCCCAGACAGGAGAAGTTGCAAAGAATGATGGAGTGGTCCTTTTAGCGGCGAGACTCGATTATCGTCACAATCTAATTGAGGTCACAAGATGCGAGTGATTGGTCGTATTCCCAGAAACTGGAATTTCCCTTCCTTTCAGTGCGGCTACTTTTTCATGTT